CAAAGGTCCTATTAATAAACGGTTAACGAATGTCCACAATGCCTCCAGCATGTTGTGTTCTGAGAATAATTGGATTTTTGGGCTGGGGTAATAAAATAACGAAATACATTCTTCCAGCTGAATTCCCTCCACGAGGGGGAGCTTGTTACTGACCACTGCTGCCTACAATCCCGTCCCATTCCTCTCCTGTTAAGAATAGATTGCTCTCTGTTTCCCATCTTCCTTTAACATATCTTGTATCATGACCCCGTAGATTGATCAGTGAACAATATAATTTGTAAATGACTTTTTGATAGGGTCCATCTCTATATGCATTCTCGAATATATTTATAATCTCTTCATTCCCAGTCGATAACTGAGAATTTTTTAGCTTTTTTTAGAAACACACACTTCTTACCGAAGAAATGAATATTATTTTACAGTTATTATTTCACTCATGTCTGTCCCGTCTGTAACATCTGAAAATAAAATATAATAAATAATAAAAACAAAGATCGACCAAATACAAAAAAAAACAACACTCATTTTACTAAACAGTTCACCGGATTTGAGACAAACATTTAATCAGTTTAATTTTCAGCTGTTTATTAATTTATTTATTGTGACTGTACTTTTGTTATTGCAACAGCTTTAGATGTGTTTATTGTATATATACAGCATATACATTAGCACCATTTTTCCCCCCCATTTGCCAAGGTTGAGGGCAAAGTAAAAGCCATGTGTAGTTAGGACATCTATATAAGTATCAAGTCAAGGTTGTGTATATGTACAGCCATAGTGTGGTCTGTCCTGGTCACCTAGGCTGAACTCAAACTTAAATGAACAACAATTTCTGTGTTCTGTTGGGGATCAAATGCTGTCTCCTCTAGGTGGATCTGGCTCAGCAGTTGTGACCTGGAAAGTGAAACAGACAGGACCACCATCTAGTGTTGTTCCAATAGGGAGTATCAGTGGTGGGGCTGTAGGTGTTGGTTGGATGACACATGTAGGAAAGGGTGGAGTGACACCCTGGGTGGATCCTTGGTATGTGGTAATGACTTGTGGTTGAATTGTACCTATGACTACACCAGTCTCTGAAAGCCCTGAAGGATGCGTGTTTGGTAGAATGTGGGTAGGGTTAACAGCGTTAACAGAGTCCTTTGTGGGACCAGAATTGGGCACATCTAAAGAAACATCAACGCTCATCGCAGTATGAGACGGATCTGGCACAAGTTGTAAAGCATCTGGGTCAGCTGAGGTTTGTGGGTCTTCAGGAGAAGTGGCCAGAGAAGGTCCTGCATCTGCAGAGGGAAGCGGTGCTGCATCCAGGGGGTTCTCTGTAGCATCCGGCGTATTTGACTGCAGGGTTTCCTGTGAAGACCTATCATTAGTGGTGGTCTCTTCTGATGAACTGGATTCACTGGACTCTGATGACTTGGGTGAATCCTCACGTTCTTTCAGATGGACCTGTTTTATAATGAAACTATCACAAATCCACCAATCTTTGCTATACAGTGGGAAAATGTAGCAGTAAAGTAGTATAGCTACTCACTGGTTTAGCTGTCACTAGAGTCACCATGAGGACAGCGCAAAGGGTGGCCCTCAGGACTGCCATTGCTGTCCTTCCTGTATTTGCTGAAACAAACTAAAAGAACCATATTGGTAAACTGGTAGTGTGTACATCGAGAGACAAACAGAGTACCTTCTTCTTGGTTCAGTTAAAAATGATTTCCACCTCAAATATTGTTAAAAAAGACATTTCTGGAATCATGTTTGTAGTGGCACAGATCTTTTTTTTTTTTTGGGGGGAGGGGTTGATTTACATTTAAATTTGTCAACCCTTTGCTAACATTGCCTTTAACTGTCTCAAGCATAAAATTCATTAAGTTTTAAATGAGGGTATTGCTGCATCCACTAATCTATTACTATTTGAAGGAATTAAAGAGTAACACAAGTAAACATTTTAGAATTCAATTTAAATGCATTATTGAATGTTAGTAAAGTTGTTCAACATCTTGAACTACAACAAGTTCAGTAAAGTGAAATGCTAAGTTATGATTGAGAACCTACCTTAATGGTCGAGTGTCCTCACCATAGAAACGCTCCAGACTGATTACAGTAAATTCTCACTTCTGCTCAGTCCTCAGCAAACAATAGAACATCTGGGTTGGCCTTCTTTTTATATAGCCGTGGAAATGTGTGGGTACCGGGCCATCATTGGGTTCCTGTTCCTGGCAATATATTATGCACTGTAGTGCTGATTCCTAAAACCATGACAGCTAAATCACCAAACACCCCCAGCTAAACTGAAATGACAGATCGCTAAAAATTCTAGGACAATGGTTGTAGAAGAATAAGTCCACCAGAAGTGCCTATTCATAAGCACAGTAAACATGTGTTTTGTGGTATTGGTTTAAACAATGGTTTAGAATTTAAATAGATGTAAAATACCTAAGGAATTTTAGACAAAGTTTCATGCATAGTGTTTGCACTGAGTGCAAAAGTACTAACGTGATTTGGATTGTTTTGATGTTCCATAGTATTAATTAAATATCCAGTGTCTCCGCAGACACTGAAACAACATATTCTATATGGACACCGTTTTGTCTCCCTGTGTTTTACAGAACAGTCAAATAAGACAATTCAGGTGAGTAAGGATCACTGCAATTCATTGTTTCCTAGCTGATTGTGACATCACCATGAAGACTACAAAGCCTTGCAGAGTGTCTGTCCACAAGTGTTACAAACCATATGTCTCCTAAATACCTAAATAAAACATTAATCATGATAACAATAATAGCTTCAACTGTGTGCCATGACACTTAAAAGTGACATTTCTGATCATTTACAGTCCTCTGTAGTCTTAAGCCACCACTCATTTCTTTGTTTTGCATACAGTGAGCCAGACTAGTAATTTTTAAAATGTGATCTCTAGCAAAAGTTCGAGGTTTTCTGAAGGAGTTCCATTTGCTGCTTTTCCCCACTCAATTTTAGTTCAGTATCTGTCCATTTTTAGAAGATTTTTTGTTTCCTTAGCTACGAGCCATTCAAGAGTTGAAAACACCTACACAACAGAAAATGTAGCAAAATACCAGTTTTGTTGTATTGTAAGGCACATTGTTACTAACAGCTTGTTGCCCCCCCCAAAAAAAGTAATTTCTTTAGTTGAATCTACAAAAATAAAATGCTAAGGACAAAAGTTTGAGAGGCGTACATTGTAGTTTTGCAACAAAAAGCTGCTAGCAAGAAACTGGACATAAATCAACATGGTGTGTGACGATGAAAAATGGAAGGAACTGGAGGAGAAAAAAGTGAAAGACCAAAGAAGCCAATCTTTAAAGAAGATAAGTCTGAGGTATGCCAAATTATACAAGTGGACAGGGAAAATCTGACAATATTCATCAATGAGTGACAAATCAAACTGCTGTCAATGTGTATGCAGGTAGTAAGGAGAAGAGTACAACAGTGTTTGTAAAACAGAGGCTCTGTCATGGTTTCGTGCTACATTTCAGCCAGTGTTTGAGAGCTTGTCCAAAAAAAAAAAAAACCCACAGAATTATGAGGAAAGTACAGTCAGATTTTGACAATGATCATGTGTCACACCAAATACTGACGTTTAAGTTTGCTAGAATTCTACAAACAATGTCTTTGCCTCGTATCATTTTTCCTGTGCATTCACAAGTTTCATTATGTCACAGCACCCATTTCCTATGTTCCTAGGACAATCTTGTGAAATTAGGGCTGGGTCAAGACTTTTGCACCGTAGTTACTTCAGTTTAAGTAATAGTCCCCCCCTTTACACAACTGTAAAGGTCTTTTAGTCAAAACAAGGCATTAAAGTCAGACTTGCACTCACATTTTACCATCTATTATAATCCAAGTGTTCATGCTTATTCATGTCAAACTTTACAATGATGGTCTAACAGTAAACAACCTGAAATAACATGACAGGAAACTGTGGAAAATGCAGACTGTTTATTTAAAACATCACTTGTTCATAAATCAGCTCGATTCCACAGAGGATACGGCTTCCAACAAAGCAACAAAACGGGAAGCTGCTGGTTTAAGGGAGGTCCACCTCTGGCTTTTCTGCTGAGGCAGTATGGGATGTGGGAATGGTCTCCGCTTTGCTCTCCAGGTCAGTCATGCTCATCTCCTTGCCTGCTGATGGTCCAGTTCCCCTGCAGCAAGAACATGTTTAATTCTGTGATGCAGAAAAGCTCTGTTCTCAAACTGTAGAGACACCAAGTTATTTTTGCTAAAAGTCTGAATAAGAATCAAGTTCCTGACTTTGTTTTTAAAATGAAAATGATGCACCATCCATAACCACACTAACTTGGCAAAAATTAGATTATCCAAACGTAACAGCATAGTCTAGACTGGATAATTGAATCAGTGAATTACTATGCAAATTGTGCTGAGATTCATGGCCCAGAGACTGAAGCCTGCTCACTTTTCTTATAAACCATGTTGGATTTTTTTCCTCTCAAATATTATATTAGCAACACTACATTGGTTCAGTAGCAGACAAATGGACAGGACAAACATTTTTACTCCCGTTGACATCATTCCAAGTGGTTACGCCCAGTTTTAGCTTTGTAGTCACAGGAAAATATCCTAATGCAAAGATACTGTATATGGAAGGTGGGCAGACCATATAAGAAATGGAACCTGCTATCATGAAATCACCACTTGGTTTATGAAGTCTCATATGAAACCTAAGATGTGCATTTTTTGTTTTGACCATCTTGGCATTTTCATTGTACAGTGGTCCACCTTTCCCAGCTTCAGTGATTTTTTTGCAATTTTGCATGTTTTTTATTTTTTATTTTATTTTAACAGCGCGATGTCCTGATCGGCTGTAGGCCATTCTCAATCAATCTCCTCCGTGCCACGTCTCCTGCACAGTTCAGAATGCGTTCAGCTTGTCAAATTCTCATAAATCTTGGAAGTGCTGTACTGTATGTTTGCAAGTTTTCTGACAAAACGTTTTGCAGCGTCAAAGGCAACCGTGGGTGCCATTGGTTTCATTCTATAATACTGGACTTATTGTTCTACGAATGTATGAACTTTTCTCTCTTGTTTAAATACTCTCAAAGTGTGAAAATGTTCATGCCTGTCTGAGAAAAGTGTATAAAGTGTGTAGTGAGGGGTTTTATAACCTTAAAACAAATAAAAATAAAGTTGGCTACTTCACGGATTTCACCTATCGCGGGCTATTTTTAGAACGCAACTCCCGCGATAAACGAGGGACCACTGTACAATGAAAATAAAGGCTTATTCTATTCCATTTTGAAACCAGATGTGCCGACTAAGGGATTGATATGGCATTTTAAAACCCACACGCTTGAGATTATTCCAAATCCAAACAGATTTTTCACAAATGGACATCCGTTCTTGCAGATCACCACTATCCTTGTTTGCTGTATATGCTTAATTGAGAGCCAATAGAACTAACCTCCAATTAAACAGATTTCAAGTTATAAAATCAATATAGTAATAATATTTTAACCCACATCTAATAACGTTGATATAAATGCCATCCTGAGCGTTAGCATTCTGTTGCTAGCATTTCACACCATATAGCCACTGTGCCCAAGTCTTAGAGCTGCTATTAGAAGAGCGGTAAAATAATTATCACATCAAACCACCAGTAGGTTAATGTGTGCAAATGCTTCCCAGTAAGGTGTACAAAACTAAACATTGCTGCAACCCAAGGACACCATCTCCTATTGCAAAGGGACAAATGTTGCCAAGTCTTGTAGCCCACCCACACCAAAACCCACGGAGAGAGAGAGAGAGAGAGAGCAAGGAAAAAGTTAAATTTGAGATTTAAATAAAGAAAAGAAAAAAAAAAAAAAACACCTTAAGTTGGCACTCTTCTTCCTCTTCACCAGCACTATTACAACAATGATCACAACTGCTGCACAGAGACCCACGGCAGTGTAGACAATGGGACCCTGCATGGTTTTCATGAGCCGGTTTTCACAGGAATCACCGCTGTAGCCCAGTGAACACACACATGTAGTAACTCCCTTCGTCTCTACACAGTGTCCGTTACCACTGCAGCGCCTCTGGCTGCACTGCTGGGCATCCAGGTTCACACGTTGAATGCTGACATTCAGTGTTGTGTTCAGACCTGTGACTTGTGAGACAGGAGAGACACTGGAAGGAGGAGGAGGAGAACTGTGAGGTTGAGTGGGAGCCAAGACCTCAGCTCCTGGGCACTGCTGGGTGCCAACACCTTTATGAAAGGGGGAAAAAAATAAAATAAAGTTTTAGCCATGGTGCAATCTACAGGAGCAGTTTTAGTCTTTAATTTTGTGTCCCACAGTTCTCATCGGAGTGGTCCGTGCAGTCTGCATGTCCATCGCAAAACTTCTCCACAGGCAGGCATGAGAGGTGATCGAGGCAGGGCCTGCTACCAGCTGGGCAGTGTTGCTCTGGGCTGCACTGAGTGGCATTCAGAAGGATGTGGTCATAAGAGCACTTGCATGTGCGACTTGTTGGGGTGGCGAGGCACAAGTGCTCACAGTTCCCATTGTTTTCTGTGCATGGGTTAGAGCCTGATGAAATCAAGCAGATAATTCGGTATGAGGTAGTTTGGTTTTTTTGTACATGACATGTAGAAACATCTTTAAAAAGGGCAGGTTAGCCTTTCCAGGTGTTCCGTTTGTGGTTCTTACATACCCATCTGACTCCGTTTGCTGAATGCCTTTAAGCCGACCACTTGTGTGCCAACCTCAAACCATAATTTCTTATCCTGCTGAGCGTCTTTGTACCAGAGTTGGGTCTTGTCTGAAGGAACAAAAAGGTCATAGTTGTACCACTAAATTATACTCAAAGATGTTGATTCCTGTGGAGCCATTATCCATGTTATGAAGTAGTCATTTACCAAAGCTGCTCGGGCCAAGATGTCAATTGAATTTTAGGAATTATAGTCAGTTATTACAGTACATGCTTGGACTCTTACCAGTGACTGTTATCCAGAGGAGGATGTTGTCACTTACAGCCACAGCAGCCAGGCCATCATCAACCTTCAGCTCTGTATATCCAGATCCATCAATCAGGACAGAGCCAATGGTCCCCAAACCTGAGAACATTTGACTCAAGTCATTAAGAGAAGAAACTATTGGAACAACAAAACTAAAGTAAACTAGTGTCAGCTTACTCGTGTCAGCCCAGAAAATGTTATCCCCATTATTAGAGAAGACCAAAGATGTTGGTTGGACAGCATCCTTCCACACCACTCTTTGCTCACCACCATCCATGCTGGCGCACACTATTGTAGCCGTGCTGCCCGTAGCCTCCAGATCCATATTCGTGAAACAAACTCTTCCACTGGGTGGGTGAAGAGCAATCGAACCCACTCTGTTGATCCCCTCCTTTATGAGAATGGCTGTGTATGTGCCTGTGACAGCAGTGACCTGCAGGTGGGGCTGTTTGTAACTGCTCCAATAAATGTTGAGTG